ATGTGATGTCAAAGGGTAATGAACATATTGTATATTTGTCGTACTTAACTTTCAGCTTTAGTCGTATTGACTTCAGTTGGCCTAGTAAAAACGAAGAACTCCTATATAGCTCTAATTATCTTTTCAATCGGGATTCGCATCGTAACTGACAAAAAGTCCAAAACACTACCATACCAAGGTCGTTGCCCACGTGCTTAGAGTTCCCAGGGTTTCTGCGTTTGACTATTGAAATGAATTTTCCTTAGTTTTGAACAAATCACACCAGAATTGCAATCGTTTAGGTAACACGCCATCATAAACCTAGAAATGTTGAGATTCTGAAAGAACTTAATTCGATCTTTTTCGTCTAATGGTAAAACACCTCTTTACGCAATTAAACACAATTAAACATACATCATGAAAATCTGGGTCAATTTGTTGTAACTGACCACTGGCAATATATAGCAGGAATGTCTGATTACTCATTTTTGACGACTTCGGATCATGTCTTCGCTATTTCACGGCCGTCACTCGGCTAACCGAGAGATTGGTCGGTCAATCTATATTGAGTATGCGGCTATATGGGCGGTTGGTCTGTTAATCGGGTTGGCTAAAGTCTGTTAATCAGGTGTTATCGAGAAAATCATTGCCAGGTCAGTATGTTTCACTGTTTAACTTTTTAGATATATTTTTATCATAAAAACTATTCATGTCTGGCAAAACAATTCAGTGTACTGAATCCAGCGATGTAATTATTTTTTTCTTCTAGCTTCGATAAACGATCTATAAAATGAAAAGGCGGGTTACTCATCAATCAGTAAATTTATACACATTTTACACACGCAAAATGTACACAAAATGACAAGTTGGTTGAATTTACTTGCATGCAATATTTTAAACATCGAAAAAAGACAGGCATTATGTTTGTTAACCATAATAATATCATTATGTGAAAAATCCACACGAAAATCTGTACTATGGTGACATAAATCAATTTTTATTAAAAACCTGGTCTGTTAATGGGTCGGTTGTATAAATCCCGGTCTGTTAATTGGTCTGTTAAGAGTTATGAATGGCAATAAAAGTATAATTTGATTGCTACATGGGGTGTTATCGGAACAAATGGGTAGGCTCAATACGGGTGGCTAAAATATACGGAAACAACACATGAATAATGAAACACAAGTTTAGACAATGGAAATTGAAAATTGATGAAAATGGTTTCAAAAAGTGTAATATTAAAGAAATCTTGATTTCATCCATGAATGGTCGCATATATCATGTGGATTCTGTTTTATTGTCATGAATGATTATGACATCAATTTTTCTACATTGGTAACCAGTATATAAGTCAGAGAAAAACTTCGTAATGTAACAAAACATCAGTAAGTAAAATGTTTTTTTTTTTTAATTTTAGCATGAAGAGAAAACAAATTGAATGATAGTTACTTTGTAGTGATTAAACATCGCGGAAAATTCAAATTAAACATTTAGAATTATAATACCATGTGTAACATATACAACATTTAGTCTTCACTCTTAATCATTTTTTTATCAAATGGACTGAAATATGTTTATAATTGCATACAAATATAAACAAACCTTTCAACATCAACCTTTCTCTACACCACCTTGAAGGTCACTCGATACAAAAACAAGCACGTTTGCGGACTGCTAGTCGGCTAAATAACTTACAATGGAAATACATCATTACTCGAAAAATAAAATTATAATAATGCATTTGTTGTGATTTCCAGGAAAATAAAACATTCTTTTTGTGACACATTAAAGTTAATCTTTACTTACTAATGTCAATTTATTGTTTAGAACCATGTCTTACTAACGAATGGAAAACAACGGTCAAATTCCTTACCTGGTACAGCCATTTCCTAAGACAGAAAATGACAATGCATATCGGAAAACACGTGGAATTTAACCAGCTGCATTGCAACACATGACAGGTTCATAGATGTTGCAGACTTTGAACAGACACACAAAATAAGGCTGATTGGTAACGTAAATAATAAATTCATGCATATTCCAGCGGCCAATCCATATCACGCTATATTGAAGTGACACACCCTTCAATCAAATGCAAGCAAAGTCAAAATAAAAATGCTAAAAGGATACTGTTGCGCTGTATTGTCATTTTTTTACACAAGTACATCTCATTCTTAACTTTTTCAATGGGAAAATATAAAGGTAGCAAAACTATTGTCGTGGCTTAATTACTCTTAACTGACACAATTTAAATTGTCCAACCCATTAACAGACTTTATTCCGGTAATATTCACTCAAATGTGGTATTACTCAAGTTATATTAAAATTATGAAATATTTACTGATGTCAATTTATTTTTTAGAACCAAAGTACTATTTTGTGTCCTTTAAATGATATCTAAAAAAAAATTCGCCTTTTATCCAAAAAATTGCTATGCGTAGAAGCATAAATACCACATACTTGCGCGACGCCTTTTAGTTTTACTGAAAACTGCGCAGACTATGAAATGTTTTTACCGGTGGAAAATGTTCTTTGATAGATATCCTTTTGTCAGACACTTTTCTTTTTTTTGATTTGGTTCTTATAATATGCCAAAAAATCTGTATATTTAACAGAGTTTTAACATTAAATTGTGCGTTTTACTCTTAACAGACGTATAACCGACCCGATTAACAGACCAACCGCCCATATAGCCGCATACTCAATATAGATTAACAGACCAATCTCTCGGTTAGCCGAGTGACGGCGGCCGTGATTTGAACTCAGGTGAACAGATGTCTCATTACCAATCATGGTTTTTCATATTTTCATATTACCTTTCTTTGCTGCAGCACTTGTCTCTCCTCAAATTTTTTTATTGAAATATTCTATGTTCTATTTTCTTTGCCTCTTAGTCTTCTATTTTATCAACCGATATCTTTCTTTTGTTTTGGATTCTACTATGTATTTTACAACTTATTTGCCTTGCCAGAGCCTATTATACTGAATCCAGCGATGTAATTATTTTTTTCTTCTAGCTTCGATACTATACGGCATGGGTTTTGTTCATTATTGAAGGCCGTTCACTGGCCCAAAGTTGTTTACATTCTCGTCCTTTTGTCTCTGTTGTATACTAGTAGTGGTCCCATTTGCAGTACATTTTCGTATTTATATTAGATAAACAAAAATCTTATTAAAGTTTATTTAACTATATCTTATATTATTTAATATTCAAATATTGTAAAGCAAACTGTTAAAGTTCGATAGTTGATCAAAGTTACCATAAAAAATCAGATCAAAGCTTTTGAAGAATTACTCGGACATTATGGAGCACTGTTTTTCTTGTTTACACATTCAAAGATTTTGATGGAATATTTAGCAGGAATAGTTAAGTAAAAGAAAATGAACTTGTAGCTTTAAGATTTTGTTTTATGTTTCTTCTGAATTTATATAGCAACAATTGAATGTACAATGCTCCATACATTTATACTTTTAATGATCCTTATTTTTTTTAAGTTTCAAAATCTCTTAATTCTATATTCATGTATCTTTCAACTTTAGCATTTTAAGACCCATCTAAAATGGTAGGGGTATTTTCATTAAGAATCCATGTCTGTTTTCTACATCTTGTAAAAAAATCATGTATAATCATGCATCTTTATATTACAATTAATATATCTGATGTTATAAACCAAACAGGTATTCAGCCGTATTAATTGATGCTCCATGTTGAAGGCCGTACTTTGACCTATAGTGGTTTACTTTTAACAAAGTGAGACTTGGAGAGTTGTCTTATTGGCGCTCATACCACATCTTTTTATATCTAATAGGTTCACGATTGCTTTTCTTTTTTAAAGAAAGCAACTTGTTTGTATGTCTTTTTAAACTGCATGGTAATGTTTGCCTTTTTCTGTTTTTTGTCTATCTACTGTAGTTAGTTTTAATGGAAAAAAACCCCTAAAACATTGGTAAAAAAATTGTCATTGCCAAGACTGGAAAAATTGGAAAAACAAACAAACAATTAAATTATGAAAGGTCACAAAGTTCTGCAATATATGTGCAGTCAAACTATGTAGTTTAAGGGATCTGGGTTGTTTGATTGGTGGTTTTAAACACTATTATCAGCACTGTATTGGCTATATCATGGCAACCAGTTTTCAATTTTAAGCTCAATTTGAACCAACTGTTATATATGATTTGAACAGAAAATACACAAGATTCCATTTCTTTCTACAGAAACATAAACTTTCAAAATCAATATCATTCTTGGTTGATTTGGTCTTCTCTGTCCTACTGCTTTAACGCCTTTTTACAACCGTTACACTGAGATGGAAATGCTGCAATGAAGCTATAAAACAAGTTTCAGGAAGCTCTAATTGTAGTTTATGTGAAAAATGCAACTGATATTTCATGGAATGCATTGATTGATTGATTGTTGGTTGCTTAACGTCCAGTGGTGGAATGCATGGAAGAACAAGGCTAAACAGTATGACTCCTCTCATTCATAGTGGGGTACAACTCCATAGATGGGGTTTAATTACCTGTTCCACTCCAAACTTTTACTAATTTGCCCCCATTCCCCCTTTCTTCAAAATCCCCGATCTGCATCTGAAATTCTCTTAAGTTCATAGGGCAATAGCCTCTAGAAAAAAATATGAATGACCGAATCACAATTTCGTGTGTATATGCACATTTGCACAGTATGTCCTTATTATCTACATGGTTTCATGACATTCCATTGTGTGATTTTAGAAGAGTTGTGTTGACCAGAACAGGACTGACAGACAGACATACAGGTCAAACACATCATATCCTATGCAAATTGGTTGCATTGGTTATTATTAGAGTTAAATGGGTTCAGTAGTTTTTAGAGGAGATTAATGAAAAAGTACAGCACGACAGACAGCAATTTTGTAACTGATGGCAAAAGCTCACAATGTCTTTAGGACGAGTTAAAATTGCAATATTCAGAAATACAAAAGAATATAACAAAGTGTCAAAAAAGATTTTAAACAACTGATTTTCTACAACTATAGTTAAACTCAACTTCTAATTTCCTGTATTTAAATTAAGTTGCATTTTCTTCACATTATTTGTATACATGTATCTTTATAATATAATTTAACTCAATTTTCACCATTATTTTTTTTTTTATTTCAACAGTATATATATGTTGGTCAAAGAATAATTTCAGCTGAAATTGTCTTCAAATGAACAGAACATGAAAATGATTTTTACTCCTCTTGTCAAGTACATATTGCCAATGAAACAAATATTAAAATTTGAATCCTTGAGACAGTTTACATTCCTAAGAAATAAGAAACAAGATCTGTAATTTATTCTTTGAAGGCAACACATTCCTTCCATAAATCAAGAGTTATTATTTTCATTATAAGTTTTGTTCTTGCATCTGCAGCTTTTCTCTTTCCTTTCAGTTTTTTGTTTTCAACCTCTGATATTGATTCTGAAAAATAAAAAGCATAATCTTGTTGATAATTTAAAAAAAGGACAATTGCAAAAATATATTTCTAACATTAAGTGTATAGCAAGTCATTTTTTTATATTTCTTCAATTTCAAGATATCTTATTAAGTATATACCGGTAATATATCAGATATCTTGTATTCTTCTTAGGATACCTTATATCATGTATATAGTATATAAGATAATCTTCTTAAAGATATCTTATATGATTGAATTATCAGATATTTTAAAATAAGTCTTTAAAATGTAGATTCTAGCATTGAATCGATTAAGTGAAAAGATATTCCTACACCTAAATTTTTCAAAAGAGTAGGCCTGCTAAGACCCCTTTTTGGCCCGAACGTATAGCACTTTTACAAAATATTTCTGTTATAACCAGATTTTCTCTATATATATTAAACAAAGGAGTAGGCCCGGTAAGACCCCTTTTTGGCCCCAAAATATAGCATTTTCACCAATATGTTAAAATGTACTCTTTCAGCTATAAATTGGAAAGTAGAATACTTCTGTTCCATAAATATGGGTTGTTTTTGACAATACAATGCACATGCAGCAGGTAATAGCAATTATAGCATCATGAATTCATGCAATATTACTGAAATCTTCACAATTTTAGCATTTGTGCTAATTTTAAGACTGTTTTTGTCTAAAATGGAAGTGGCCGCATGAGTGTTCAGTCTTAATATTTAAATAGATGTTGTATTTGATGATAACACATGTACATAACATATATAAAGGTTGAGAATGAACATGAATGCGGCCACTTCCATTTTAGACAAAAACCATCTGAAAAGTGACGTTTTAAGGCATATTTGATAGATTTTTCATATCTTAGCTTGAATTTGATCGTCTTTAATGACCAAATCAGTTCAAATCTTTTACTTAAACTAATTGAATCAACTAAAGAAGACACTTTTAAGTGTTTGAAAAATGTCAAAATTTAACATATACCTATTACGGTCCAATATCCAAAATCTTATTACATGATTTGGTTCAGCATATCAAAGAACCACACGAATTCAATTTTTAATGCAATAAAACAAAGTTTAATTTTGGACCCTTTGAACCTCAATATTGACAAATTTGATAACCAATGGCCCAAAATCCAAAATGTAAATACACGGTTGGATTCATCATATCAAAGAACCTGTACATTCAATTATTGTTGAAGTCAGACAATGTTTAATTTTAGACCCCTGATTACAAATGGATTAGGACAAAATTGAAAACTTAAGGCCCAAAATCAAAAATCCAATACATAGTTACTTTCGGCATATCAAAGAACCTCAAGAATTAAAAGTCAAGTTTAATTTTGAACCCTTTGGACATTAATGTTGATAAATTTGAAAACTGGGCCCAAAATGCAACATCTAAATATTCAGTTAGATGCATCTTATTACAGAACCCCAAGTACTAAATTTTTTATGAAATCAAACAGAGTTTAATCTTAGACCCTTTGGATCCCAATGTGGACCAATTTAAATGGGACCCTAAATCCTAAATCTAAATACACGGTTAGATTTAATTTCGTCATTCAACATATCAAAGAAACCCATATATTCAGTTTTTGTTGAAATCAAACAAAGTTTATTTTGGACCTTATAATATGTAGACTTATTTGAAAAACAGGCCAAAATTCAAAAGTTTAAATACACAGTTAGATTCAGCATATCATAGGACCTGAATAATACATTTTTGTGGAAATAAAACAAAATTTAATTTTGGACCTTTTTGTGGACTAATTTGAAAACACGACCAAACATAAAAGATCTAAATACATAATTAGAATAGGTTTATCAAAGAACCCCTAGAATTACATTTTTTAATAAATCATACAAAGTTTAACTTTGGACTCTTCGAACCTCAATTTTGGCCAATTTAAAAACTAGGCCAAAGAATCCAAAATCTATAATACATGATCAGATTCAGCAAGAACCAGAAGAATTCTTTACTTCGCTACCTTCAAATGAAACCCCATTTAAAGTGGTCAAGAAAATAAGCCATTTATACACAGTATTAGAAAAGTACTGTTTTTGACCCTTTATTCATAAATGGTTAGGGCCATAACCCAAAAAAACAATCCCAACATTCCTTTTTTGGCATAGGACCTTGTGGTTCTGTGAATTTCCTAGAGATCCATACACTTTTACACAAGTTATTTTCTGGAAACCAAATGTCTTCGGACGACACATAGACAACGCCATAACATTATACTAAATATAAATTTTTGCGGTCCTATAAAAATGCATACCGCATAGTTGGCTATAAAGGGTCAGACAGGCAAAATTTGAAACAATTCAAACAAGAAAAAAATATCTTATTTAGTTTATAAGATATCTGTCTGATTTAATATATTCAGATCAGATATTGTATATAGTATACATAAGATATCTTACTTAGATTATAAGTTATCTCATTAAGTTTATAAGATATCTTATCAAGTTTATGAAATATATCTTTATAACTAAAAAAGATATCTTTTCACCTAAAGTGATAAATAAATCAAAATATTAATTTACTAAATGATATATCTTTATAAAAGATCTTATTTAATTCATAAGATATTTTTCAACTGAACAAGCATTCTATGAGTATTGCATGGTAATACATAGTCCCCTACCGGTTAAAAATTCATTGTAATGGAACGAAATTCTAACTTGATCTATAACTTGTCATGATGTAAACTACATAAAATAACAAACAAACCTACCACTAAATTCTTCAAACAATTTACTAAAGAAAAGGAAAAAAATCCAAAATGTCATTTATCTTAATACAATGTCTTTTACAAATCTTTTAAAAAATGAGTTATTTCCCTTTGAACAGAAATCTAGTAATTGATAAGTATTTCATCAAACATTTAATTCTAGGGAAAGTTAAAAAATGAGTTATTTCCCTTTGAACAGAAATCTAGTAATTAATAAGTATTTCATCAAAAATTTAATACTAGGGAAAGGGCTTTAACTGAACAAGGAGAAAAGCTTAAATCGTGAAAATCCACCTTGACCTGTAACTTGTCATGATAAAACAATACACCAAATATCAAATCAATATCTTCAAGCATGAAGAAAAAAAGTCTGGAAAACTGATTTGCCAGTCTGACAGATGGACAGACAGACAGACGGACAGAGTGCAAACATAAAGTCCCCTTTGACTTCGTGGTAGTGGACTAATAAGACACTGTTTAACATGAATATTAAAAATATATAATAAACTAAATAAGGTATCTAATTTACTAAACAAGACATTTATAGATATCTTATATAATATATAAGATTTCTTATTAATTTCTAGATTTATTAATTTTTAAATTTCCAATTTTAGATATTTTTGCTATTTTTTTAAGGAAAACAACTCAAATGCAGGGCCAACAGTAAAACTCTAAAACGCAAGGGTGTAATATTGTTATGCCATGTGTAACATTTTTTTTTGAGAAAAATTCTTGCACATGTCAATTTTCACTCAAAAAGGGTATGTATATATATATGCTGTGAACTTCTTTAAAATAAAATCTGAATGAATATTCTAAACAGTTCAACTAATTCAAGACTAACAGATCAATCACTCAAGCCAGAATATGAGAAACAATCAAATTTTGACCCAAAAATTCTTCAGTCAAAAATTCAGAACGTACGTACTGTGAATCAGAATTGTGTTACCTTTTTAAATATATTCTTACCTTAACATTAATTGCCTTTCTCATTCCCTGAAACGGTAGCATCTAAGTCTGAGAGAGAACACTCAGTATCTGAAATATAAGGATTCATAAATTAAAAAGGCTATACTTAATTATATTTTTTTGTTAAATTTGACAAATAACCCAAAAGTAATGAATTTATTTTTCATATGATTTGAACCCTCTTTTGTTAGTGAGAACTATTTGTGCAGTTATAATTTTATCTTACTGTCTCTTTATCTCATACAATTCTGCCAGTATTCATGGTATTTATACTACTTGTATTTCTTTATAAATTCAACTTGTTTCTAATTTAAAAATTTTCATGAAAGTAGTACGATATTTACCCTCATACAGCTTTAATTGGAACTTAATAATCCTTTGTATTAACTGGAACTACTCTGGAGATCAAGCCATGTCCTTTTAACTGGAATTAGTTGTCCTTTTTCTAAGCACATAAACAGGTGTATACTGTGAGAAAGAGGGGGTTTCAATGAATTGTAAAAAATACATACGCCTTGAGTCCTTGTGATAATGTAGATTTCATGTATATACATAATATAACTTTATTACAAAAAAAGTAAAATCCTGACTGGTTAGAATGCAAACTTAATATACACAAAAAAACACACAATACATCATGCACATGAAAAAAGTGTGAAACAAATCAAGTTAATATTAATAATATATAAAAGAATATAGATAATTGACCAATGTGGACCTTATTTTTCGCAATTCCATGGATTGCTTTATATAGCCTACAACACTAGACAAAATATCTTTATCATTGTTCAATGGGATCTAAAATAGTTAAGAGTTTGAGTCAAGCTGGTTAAAATTAGGATATTGGGTTTTTATTGCATTCATAAGGGGATTTCTAATACTACTGTTGATTTAGCAATGAAGGAAAAAGTGTTCCTCATCATCTAATATTTTACAAACTTTACTCTGTGTTCTCTTTGAATTTTTTTATATCATCCTTTTTATAATTTCAATTTCCAAGTTAGGGTCACTTACACAGAATTTTGTTAAAAGTTCAGGACTATTAAAATTGTTAAGATTGTGCAAGTAGTTTTCCAGTTTAATTTCATTTTTTAATTGACGATAAAGGTAGAGTCTTGAACTGTTATCAATATTTGAAAGTTTTTCAAGAGTGATTTGATCATATATAAATGTTTTCAATTGAAATCTGTACAAATTAAAACACTACCATGTGAATTAATAATATAGATATGTAATGAATTATAACGCAATTCAATACTGTACAATATCCAAAGTGTCTGAAAACTGTATTATAGGTAAAAATGAACACAAAAAAACAACTTTATAAGTTATACCTTAATCTTTAGTTTCCCATACATGTCCATCCAAATGCCTGTATCAGAACTTTTTGAGAGACAATTTTGATAAAGCAATTTGATAAAGCAATATTTTTTTCTATATTTCCAAGCAAAACAGCTGAAATAGATTCAATAGTATTTACTATTATATGGTTATATTGAAAGCCATAAACATATTTTTTGTTTGGCTAGAGGAAACTGTTTGTATTGTCACAATATCAAATGACTTATTTCAAATTCATCATTATTTTTTTAAAGTAGTGTCAGGTTTGCAATATGAGATCATATGATGTAGACATGTCAATGATACTCCATTTTTTGAAAGTAAAGTATATATGACAAGATGTGGAATAATAACATTATTTTCATGGTCCTTGGGATGTGAACCTTAGATCTATATGTACATGATGTATAGTCTGTCCAAATAAAAAAATCAGCATAGAACAAAATAGCTATGTTTCCACAGCTTACATTTGACATGCTCATAAGATCAAGACTGAAGACAAAAATAAATTTGAATCTTTATAGTACCTAAAATTGAAAAAAGGGCCCTTAAACTAGGCAATGTTTAAGAGCGCATCATGTAAAAAATGAATATCCCAGTGAGGAAGAACCTTATAAAATATTGACCAAAACCAGATTTCAAATGAATTTTCTGCAACACAAAATGTAGATTTGTACACCAAATCAAGTCGGAAAACAAAGCTTGCATAGCAACAGATGAAACTTAACAAAAAACAAAATATTATTCTGTCCACCACCATCATGACCATGGTTGTCCCTCTATTAAGTATTAAATCTTCCCATGCAGTATCTTTTATGTGTCAATATTGGTAAGATATTTATATTGGGGTGAACATGGTAAATGGGATTAGTAAGAAAAGTTTTTTTTTCACAGATTTTCGTATGGGAATAAGGGGAGGGAAGTGGGAATAAACCCCCTCATAAGGTCTTTTCAGTTACCGGTAAATAACGTTTAGTATCAGTCAGGCTTTAGTTAGTCCAAATAATTATGACATCTTGTAAGACGTCAAAGCAAAAAAAAAATATAATAGCCTTTGAAGACGTCATAATTATTTTGACTATAGTAGTTTTAGTGTGTCCACAGGGATTTGTTACAATTTGCAGAGATAACTATCCATACGAACCCCGAAAAAATCACTTTTTCGGGGTTCATACTGATAGCAAACACGGCAATTTGTAACAAACCCCTGTGGTGTGTCGTCTGCTTTTGAGAGACTGTGCTTGAAATCTTCGAAAAATACCCGGGATTTTACCAAGTTTACCAAACGATTTTAAAAAGCATAAAAAAGGAGACATAACATATATTTACCTGTAAGGCTATCATTTCAACGTTTTCTCGTACAACCAGCACGTTCTACTTTTACAATCTGAACAATCGAGAATCCAAAATTGTTTATTTACGAACTGACAGGTGCGTGTTGACTCCATTTTCTGACCTTCACACAAAAGAGCTGTTAAAACCGAGGTCGGTAATCGGAAGTCGTACGATATTTATTCCGACACGTTTGTGAAACACTCGTAAACTTGGTCGGTAACATATCCTACGACCAGTCGTAAATCGTACGATTTACGATCTTTTGTGAAACGATAGCCTGCTTTTTTTTATTCTACATATCTCATTTGAACATAAACAAAACAAAATAAACATTTAATTTAGTAACTTTTATTAAAAAAATACCCGTATCATTTTGGAAAATGTGTTCAATGACTTAACTAGAATTCGACAAATTTCTTCGGAGTTTCTGTTTTAACTGCAACTTTACTGAATGCATATGCAGTTTTATAAAAACTTTCATCAGCTAAACGAAAAAACACAGTTACAGGAAAAATAGCACATAGATAAAGTGAAACAAAATCATGTTCCGATAACGTTAACAGTGTTGTGCAATGAATATTCGTCACCTACAGTTTTTTTTGTCATATATTTCCCATAAAACTACGTATTTTCAAAAAAATATTGTGAGATCAATTCTGGCTTGAATTTAAACAACTTGGTACGAATAGAAATTGAATTGTCATTAGTTTATTTGCTTATTTCGTGATATTTTTTTATGACGAAGTGTTTTTCTCTTCTGATGATATATCTTTATCAGGAAATTAATTGCCCGTTTATAAATTTTGAAATTATAAAGAAACTAAGGTTTCAACTCCCTCAGGCAAAGTTGACCTTAGATGGATTTGGCTATTTGGTTTAGGTATTTTTGTCATATAGCTCTTCAACTGTTTCGGTACTTATACATCCCTCGGATTTCAAATGTTTGGCTTTGAGCGTTCCTGATGAAGTTAAATGCAGAAAAGCGCCTCGGACGCATGAAATTATTAAACGTGTTGTTTTCAATTTTTACATCACTGGGTCGATACCTCTGCTGGTGGACTATCAGTCCCCGAGGGTATAATCAGCTCAGTAGTCAGTACTTCGGTACTGACATGATTTATAACAAACTTTTCTAAAATTGCCCGTTTATAAATTTTGAAATTATAAAGAAACTAAGGTTTCAACTCCCTCAGGCAAAGTTGATCTTAGATGGATTTGGCTATTTGTTTTAGGTATTTTTGTCATATAGCTCTTCAACTGTTTCGGTACTTATACATCCCTCGGATTTCAAATGTTTGGCTTTGAGCGTTCCTGATGAAGGTAAATCCAGAAAAGCGCTTCGGACGCATGAAATTATTAAACGTGTTTTTTTCAATTTTTACATCACTGGGTCGATACCTCTGCTGGTGGACTATCAGTCCCCGAGGGTATCATCAGCTCAGTAGTCAGTACTTCGGTACTGACATGATTTATAACAAACTTTTCTAAAATTGCCCGTTTATAAATTTTGAAATTATAAAGAAACTAAGGTTTCAACTCCCTCAGGCAAAGTTGATCTCAGATGGATTTGGCTATTTGTTTTAGGTATTTTTGTCATATAGCTCTTCAACTGTTTCGGTACTTGTACATCCCTCGGATTTCAAATGTTTGGCTTTGAGCGTTCCTGATGGAGGTAAATCCAGAAAAGCGCTTCGGACGCATGAAATTATTAAACGTGTTGTTTTCAATTTTTACATCACTGGGTCGATACCTCTGCTGGTGGACTATCAGTCCCCGAGGGTATAATCAGCTCAGTAGTCAGTACTTCGGTACTGACATGATTTATAACAAACTTTTCTAAAATTGCCCGTTTATAAATTTTGAAATTATAAAGAAACTAAGGTTTCAACTCCCTCAGGCAAAATTGACCTTAGATGGATTTGGCTATTTGTTTTAGGTATTTTTGTCATATAGCTCTTCAACTGTTTCGGTACTTATACATCCCTCGGATTTCAAATGTTTGGCTTTGAGCGTTCCTGATGAAGGTAAATCCAGAAAAGCGCTTCGTACGCATAAAATTATTAAACGTGTTATTTTCAATGTTTACATCACTGGGTCGATACCTCTGCTGGTGGACTATCAGTCCCCGAGGGTATCATCAGCTCAGTAGTCAGTACTTCGGTACTGACATGATTTATAACAAACTTTTCTAAAATTGCCCGTTTATAAATTTTGAAATTATAAAGAAACTAAGGTTTCAACTCCTTCAGGCAAAGTTGACCTTAGATGGATTTGGCTATTTGTTTTAGGTATTTTTGTCATATAGCTCTTCAACTGTTTCGGTACTTATACATCCCTCGGATTTCAAATGTTTGGCTTTGAGCGTTCCTGATGAAGGTAAATCCAGAAAAGCGCTTCGGACGCATGAAATTATTAAACGTGTTGTTTTCAATTGCTATATAGTTCAACCAAATTGAATTGTAAAAAAATATAATTATACATGATAACAAGATAAAACAAATACACTTCAAGCAATTTTTTTTTCCAACTCATAGTTTGTTCAAATCTAAGCATAGATTGTACATGTATATGCGTTCAAAATAAAAAAATTAAAATTAATTGTTATCAATTGAAAGATTTAGCAAAATATTGTAGATGACGAATACTTATTGCAAAACACTGAAAAAAAAACGTGTGACAACCATGAGGGCTTAACAAAAATAATAACGACTGCGACTGCAATTTTTTGTGAAATTAAGGATTAACTACTTTATTATTGGCTACTAAATGTCCAGCGGCAAATATTTTATTCATCAAGATAACATGTTGATAATATGCACAAGGTCAGAGTCAACAGGCAGGTACCAATCAGTATCGAAAAATGATATGTAGCTTTTTACTTTCTGCTATGAATAACAAATTAAATATCCGGAAATCTGAGATACGAAAGTATAGAAACCCCTGTAAATGTCGCAAAAGAAGTTCAGCAACTTTGACTTTAAAAAGATGCAACAGATACCAAAAGGACACCCAAAACTTATAAGTTCAAAGTGAAACTGAAAACGCTGTGGCAAAATCAGTTTTTTTTTAGATAAAACATATACATTTGAGGATGTATACAACAAAAAAAGAATAAGGTAGCCCCCTGTATAAAACGGAAATTTTAGTGACAATGAAATATTGTAAAAAGAAAATTCGCAGTCAACGTTTTTTTAGAAAAGTCAATTTAAAATCAAATTATTCAATAGTGCTAGCGGTAATCATGTGCATCCTAATATTTATATTTGTTCTTCGCTTTATAGAATATTCAGATTCCTTTATCTCCGAAAGTCTAAATTTTACTTGCATACTTTTTAAATATTTATTTGCGGTTTTAATGGATTAATTTGCCTGCAAAATGTCATAAAAATCCGTTAGATTGCCAATTGACGTACTTATTACCTATAGAATCTAACTGACATACGCTGATCCTCGAAACTGATTCGTACTCGTACGTGCTTTGTGAAACGATGGCCAAATACAGATAAAGAGATGACAGATACGTACACTTTTTCTGAAACACTCCATTACTTGAATGGCCTTCTCACCAACCGGAAAAGAAATTACGTTCCGTAAAACTGATGATGGCCTGATAAACGGCTCAACATGCCCTTCCAGTTGCTGACTCGGTACACCTAAACTGTCTCCAACTAAGTTCAAGTGGGTGCCGGTTACCACGAGAAAGTGCAAAATTTCTCATAGTTTCACGATGTAAATATTCATGAATTCCATTCAAGATGAAATGATGGTTGGACGACGAAATCTGTATTTATCAAACAATTCGTCGTCCTCCAAAGACTCAAGTGGATTGAGTCTGTCCTTGAAGACTCTTGGCCTAGGTAAGTTCCTATTTAATCGTCGATTTCTTCGTACCTTGACAGCAGCCATTTTTTTTATATACTTAAGTATGTTTTGGCTATACTAAAAAATTTAAGAATATTCTTAATCTTGAGTAATAAAAAATCTGAGATTTTTTTTATGGCGGTGGATTTTGCTGAGAATATAAAAATTGAGAAAATTGTCAGGCTTAGCAAAAAAAAAAATTAAAAAAAAATACTCTGAAAGTTTTATGGCGCTGGGGCTCATTTTAGAGTAAACATTTCTTAGTTGGTTCGAAATGCGCGTGTTTGCAGTGACGTCGCACATTTCAGTAGTATTTATATTTCCATAAAAAAAACCTTTGGCAGCAGGAATATATAAATCATAATTGGTCAAAACTAAATGTCATTCCAAACATAGAGATTTGTTTTGAAAGTTTTACTACATCTGCAGGAACTTAAAAAACAATATTATTTCGCTTTAAGGTTTGTTTATAATATGGTTACTCATTTAGGAATTGTCCTTAAAACCTGTCTCTGTATTAGAAGACTTGTTAATAAAGGTTACAATTGTACTGTTATTGTTCGATGACTACGTCGCGTAGTTTTTTTGGGAAATTCAATTCGCTAATCTATAGTTTAAAGCAATACTGAAATGTTTCGTTTTTTCTCTGTATAGTTTGTTCGGGTTCTAGTCTACTGTAATTTAAGAAAGATCGGGATTGTAAAAAAAAGCCTTAGAAAACAATTGGTCTAGATATTAAATGAAATGTTCAAATTTTGAGAGACAAATGTAATGCATTTGCAAGACTTTTCATTTAAGTGAAGAAAATAATGTCTTTTATCTTAATATTTCTTTTTGATTCAATTTTGTTTTCATTTTGCCATTTAAGGGAAGATAACTGATAATGCAAATTTATAAAGGAATATGTTAGGAATTTACATATTTTGTTTTGTAGCAAGAAAATGAGTCCCGTGATCATAGTTTTTCTTTTCATTTTTAGAAAGCATATTATAAGAACTATCTTCTCATATTTTACCTTAAAATTCAATCGTTCAGTTTTCTTTTTATCACACAAAATTGGGGTTTTCATGTATGATCTATACAAAAAAGATTGATAACCTCTACAAATCTTTTTGATATTTGTTTTGGGTTGCTGTGTCATGGACGTTTCCCCCCCACTTCCTTTGTTCATATTACAAAGAATTACGTAGTCGAACGCATTACATGTATTTTTTAAAATATTATTACCAACACAATTTCTAATAAAGAATTTAGAACTGATATTTATTAAGTTATTGACAAATCAACAGTGAATAAGGTTAGCTGCATTTATTCTATCAAGATTTGAGCAGGTATGCAAGGGCACGATAATAAAAAGGCGGTATAACTGTTCTGTTCCTATTAGATCAGAATTATCTAATTTATACGAATATTCTGCCGGCTGCAAAAATGTTAAATGAGCTACTGGAAAACAATATTAGAAGCCTTTGGAATCAGAATATAGAAAATATTGGTAAGAGAAAAGTTGTTTCTGGAAAAAAAATTGTGTAGGACTATAATTTGTAAGCATTGACATGTAGATGATCAATCTGCCTTTTGAAGATTTGTCAAAACAGTGAATGCCCTATCAGACATTAACGTAAGGTTGAACCATTTTGACTGACATCTTTATTTTTTACAACGTATGTTCTTTGATTTAATAAATAAGATTGAATAATGATCTTTTATGTGTCTTCACTTAAAAATATCCTTCATGATCCGATATCGGATGATTCACGATCCGATCACAATATTCTTTCACGATCATTCATCGTTATGTACCGATTCATCATTGAAGGACATGTTTTGGAAGTCACGATTTTTACTTTTGAATTTTTGCTAAATCAAGCAAGAATGAATAAGCTAACAATCATATATTCTAGGAAGACATTTTAATGTACATAAAAGCGGTTTCATAACAGTTACAGATATTGATACCGTCAACATTTATTTTTATTTTCGTTTTCACATTCTGACATCATTCGGTTTTATAGAAACTATTTGTATTGTTGGACCGATGTTGGCGATTCTGTCCGTCTTAACTTCTCTCAAGGGTTTTGACAACAAAAAGTAAATGAGTTTCTTGCTCCTTTATGCAATCCTATTGATTTACTGGAATTTTGTATCTTTGAAAGAACCTGAAAAAAAATATTTTACATAATTACATGACCAACTCTGTTCTGGTTTAGAGCTTAATATTTTAACATATATTTTTATATCTAAAAAAAAAAAAAAAAAAAAAAAGGGGAGAAGGATAATTCATCACAGGAAATGATAGCTACAAAAAGATTCAAATAGAATCATAAAACTTCAGAAAAGAGTAGCAAGAATTATACTTAAATGTGATATTTCTGTTCCATCATATTTTATGTTTTCTTCTTTAAAATGGCTATCCATTACAGAAGAGTAAAATACCAACACTCAATTCTAATGTATAAAATTGTAAATGGACAAATACCCGATTACTTATCAATGCTAAATAATAATGATGTTCAACACTACAACTTACGATCTGTCTCTAATAACGATCTATTTGTTCCAATACAAAATACTAATTGAAAAAAACCCAATCATTTCATTATTCGGCAATCAAGGTATGGAATGATTTACCATTTACAAAAAAAAAAAATATAAAAAATGCTGTAGTGTGAAACTATCCAAGAAACAATTTTACTGTAATTTTCTTGAAAATTCTTGATTGATTGATTGTTCAGTGTAGGTGGCCGAGTGGTCTAGAGCGCTAGCCACAGTGCAGGCGGTATTGTCACGATATCCCCCAAAGCATGAGTTCCTCGCCGGGAGTTTGAATCCCGGCGAGGGAAGAACAAAAATTTGCTTCTGCAAATTTGCAGATTTAACATTGTTGTGCTGATATTTAGAGTAATTATGAAATATATATATTAGTCCCAGGTATGAATGAATGTAAACTGTATTCATGTATTTTGTTTGAGGGTCTCAATGAAAATAAGTTCTAATTGAGTTACCCTCTTTAAATATTTAAAAGAATTTATTATTATTATTATTATTATTATTATTATTATTATTATTATTATAATAGAACACATTGACAATAACTGATCTGGCGGTAGCAAGTGCTGTCCATTTCGTAAAAATTTACTGAAGCATTGTTGTACTAAATCATTACAAAATGTATGTTCTGTAAGGTAAACATTGACAAGTTATTATCAATGACGAATGTGCGTATATCATTCCCTCAGCTTCTTAAAGATAATAAGTACACTGCATGACGAATTCAAATCTATTTAGTTCCGTCGCAAACTAATGTTGAATTTCGATATTATTTATACATTTAGCACCACTGTAAATCCTCACCGAATTGTCATATCATAAATATATTTTACTCTTTCATAAATCATTGTTTTCCTTCCGTATTCCAAATAAATTCTACAGTATCGTAAGTATTACAGCATTACTCAATTTAAATGTTCATGTTTGCTACACCTGTATTGATGTACCCAAAGTGATGGTTCTGTTAATAACTCTTTGTTATACTAGATACTAAAAAAAGGAATAACTAGCTTTCTTAGATTTATAATCAAACACATATGAAAATTAAATAAACAAACATGGATTATACTAGATATTTCAATGACAAATATCTAGTATATTATGTATAAATGAGATACAATAAGATAGAGGAGACCTGTGCAACGTTGTTTATATCTGACGTTACCAAATATTTTCAACCGCGAACTTACAGGCACCATAATAAATTAATACTTTTCAATCTAATATATTCGCCAATTTAAGGTAAATTAACTGTATACCGCCATCTTGGATAATAAATAGCAGTACACTAACGGTCTAGTTCTTTACTTAAATCTGCAAGTTTTAAGACAGATTCGCAATTAATGTGTAAGACATTTTGTCTTTTTACTTTCTTAAAGCATATTATAAAACCTATCTTCTCATATTTAAAAAAATCTTTCTCATAGTATACTTTTTAATCACAAAGAGTTTTTTTTTCTATTAATTATCTTTATATAATTGGTCAAATTTGTATGACAGGTAGTTTGAAAAATAACATGCAGACCTATACTTTTTATTATATTTAAAAAAAAAAAAAAAAAAAAAAAAAAAAAAGCATGATTAAGTGTACAGTTTGGCAAAGTTTAAGAAAATTGTATATGAAGAAATATATAATGTTGACCCAACTTGATAAAGGTTGTGATTACACACTCATTTCTAATGCATGGACAAATTTCTTTAAGTTTTAAATTAAAAAAACATTACATTTGCTTGTACTTATGTTAACTTTCCTGAGTGAATTAAGATAAAAAAAGACAATTTTTTTTTGATTTAAAGAGAATTTATCATTTTCTTTAATTTCCGGTCTCTAAAAACTTCGCCAAAGTATGTAAAGCAGCTCAAATATTACCTTTTAGATAATTTAGTAAATGCAATTTTTGAAAAACATTGACATGATTGTAAATAATATGAAAATGTTGAACTTTGTGTGCATTTGCGTAACATTTACAAATAGACAAATATCCAACATAATGTCTATTGTTACTAACGGAATAAGGACTAAATATACAGCGAACATTACATTGGTGTACATTTTTAAAACCTTTGAAGGTAAACGCATTATTTTGTCGCAGCATCTGTTGCACTATGTTTTAAATTTCTTATATTGTCTTAAAATCCGAATGAAATATTAAAATACTAGTTTCACAAAATAATAGGGTTAAAAAAAAACTATAGGCAATTACAACTTATTGCGACTTGACAAAAAATTATTAATGAATATTAAAAAAAAAGAGAAAAAAAAACCCCTAAAAATCATGTATTATTTTGATAGTGCTATTAATTAATTATTTAGTGTAATTAACCAGGAGACTAATGACTAGGTGTATTGGAAATGAAAATCGAATCCAATATCTTGGGCACTTGATCTATGTTATTTCGGGGACTTTATAGTTTAATCGACTTAAGACTATTGAACAGCGGTATACTACTGTTGCCTTTAATTACTATACGGTATGGGATTTGCTAATTGTCGAAGGACGTATGGTGACCTATTGTTAATTGCATCAACTTCATGTGGTCCCTGGTATGTAGTCTGACCTTATATATAAGCAGATGTACACAATCCATATATGACAATTTGGCGAATTAACTTTGAATTATGAGTTTCATTTCTATTGATTAACTTCAGCTAGATATCCGTCTGTATCATATGCAAATTCTTTTTTTCATGTATGGTGATTTCGCAAATGGATATTTAACTTGTTGCTCCGTTGTTATCATATCAACGAAAGTAATTTCCTACTGTTGTTTATGAGTACTGCAAAGCTGAAGATAAAGTGCTTACGGGAAAGACATAAATATAAACCGTTTTACTTAAATAATGTGTCCCTGGTAGATTGGCTAAAAGTTAAAATTTAGCAGGCCACAGCGACAATCGACTAAACTTAAATACCAATGTTTAAAATTAAGAACGCACAAAAGTTTCTTACCTCTGCATTTGACGAGTACAGCGATAAGTATCCAAAAGACACCAACTGCAATCCAAGATAAGAGAATGAACAGCAGAAAATTATGTATTCCCGTACCTGCAAGAAAAAAACACATATGTGTGTGTGTGTGTGTGAGAGAGAGAGAGAGAGAGAGAGAGAGAGAGAGAGAGATCAAATCAACACGAAAACTTAGTTCATTGCAAAAATTATGTTTGGAAACCCTTGTTACAAATGTCCATTATAACTTATACAAGCGTACACCTATACCATTTCGTGTATTGCCAATCAAATACTTTTCAGATCAGTTAGCATAGGAAAAGATAAAAAGAGGAAACGATCCTGACTGAAACTTTTCTTTGTGAGCATAGGCCTTGTTGCCTCCAATATAGGCGATATCCTTCATCATTAATAAATCAAATATAAAACATCTCCCTTTTAAAGATCGGTCAGTTCCAAACAAATCTAAAAACAAAATCGTTTGCGTTTGTATATCAAATCAATTAAAAAGGTTATCTTAAACTAACCTTATAACGATGCTTGACGTTTCGGTTGGCATCCTATTTGAATTGTTTCGTTTGAAGGATGTGTTTTTCCTTAAAGAATCGGCATTACTATAAGAATCAAATGTGCTCCTCTTCTTATATGTACGAGTCAGACTTTGTACATGAACTTTCATACGAAACCTTACGTGCCGCTTTGGTGACTATGTTGATCGCATCTATCCCATTGAACTTGAAATAAAGGATACCGCAAGGTACAGATAAGTCTAATTGATATTTTGATGCGGGTCGGTTGAGAACTGGCCTTAACATCTTAAGCTATAATTCGAAACCTCCTTGTTTCAACAGTTATAAATATTTTATATATTGTGAACTGTGTAGCAACATTCCAGCCGCGCCTACATATATCTCCAAGTTTTCCAGGACTTGCGTTTCTTATCATGAGTGTCTTGATATAGATTGTTGCTGCTGACAAGGAAACTGTTGAAACAAAGGGGTTTCGAATAGTAAAGTTTGAATCATCATGTTTAAACAAATTACCGTTTATGTAAAAAGAATTAAGACTATTATAATATCTCAGGTGCATTTATAGACGATTTTTTTAAGACAAAACATTATTAGGTGAAATATACTAATACAATATCATTGACTTAAAACATTACCCTTTCTATTTCATGAGTGTAATTATTGTCACAACTCTATGCCCTTACAAAGACAATACCAAAATCAACAAGTGCTGAAAAGCATAACAGTTCGGAATTTTCCCGTCACCAATAACAAATATTGTATAAAATAAACACGTTTCCCTTTGCAGAAAAGCAGTAATTGCCAGGTTATTACAGGATTAAACACGTGCGTTCATATGACTATTGATGTGTAGCCTTGGAGGGTTAACTCACAAACGTAATAAAAATTCGAAAGACTTTTATGTGAGGTTTGTATTACTAAGTGAGTGGCACAGTTTATCTATTTATAATATCTAGAGAAAATATGTTGAATCCTTATAGTTTCCAACCTAAATATTTTTTTTTTTTAATTTCAAATTTTTTGGAACTTCATGAATTAACCGTGTTTCGCGTTTCGTTTCGTAAAATCTCCGATGTCTTCCCCTAAATTTTTTTCATCGTTTCATAAAAAAACTTTTTTTTTATTTTCCTCTTGATATATCACAGTTAAATTCGCCAAAGTGTTTATATATTAGGTGACAACTGAAATTTCTGTAAGTTAAACATGTTCTACCAAAGTGTAAACCAGGAAAAAAATTATAACGGTCCAATCAAAATATTTTTTATAGATATATAAATCATATAAAACTATATTATAATATCTATTCTAGGTATTGACTTTGTGTTTCATCTCAATTACGTGTTATAGTGAGGTGTTTTTTTTTTATTTGTCTTTGTATATTTTTAACCTTTACTGTTCATTATTGGAAGTATCCTTTTGGCGTGACTCGGTATTTATACATCCCGCCATTGTGTTATTGTGTTATGGCCACTGTTTGTATTCTTGTCTTTCATTTTTGCGTATGTGCTTTGTCTATAGAGTATCCATATGCCATTTTGTTTTTATATGTTGAAATAGTTGTTTGTTTTAATAGTGGTTAAGATTAAAACACATTCTTATCAAAATATAATGGAATTCTATGCAACTGTCATACAAGTTAGAGGTTTAGCTAGCTATAAAACCAGATTAAAACCACAATTTTCTACATAAGGAAATGGTTGTACCAAGTCAGGAATATAGCAGTTGTTTTCCATTCGTTTGATATGTTTGATCTTTTGATTTTGCCATTTGATAAGGGACTTTCCCTTTTGAATTTCCTTGGAATTCGGTATTTTTATTTTTTTTACTTTGTATGAAGCAAATTTATCTGGGCCAAAAAAAAAAACCCAACATTTTATGCTTCTTCGTATATGTTATTATTGTGACTTGATATACATATGCCAAGAATATTTCACCCAATCCAGACCTTTTAGATAAAGCTAATAATTAAAGGGACTTTAATGAAATAAAATCTAACAAGCCTTTGATTAACAAGAGGCTCATGAAAGCCTGATATCGCTCACCTGGCTGTAATTTCAGTTTCAGGCATTTGACTTATTTGTAGATCTTACTTTGCCGAACAATTTTGTCATTAACACTTTCTCTCTTTCTATAATAATATTAAAGATAAAACATAACCCAAAACTGTAAAATTTCCTAAAAATTAACTATTTCTGGATAGTAACCCAACAATAAGTTGTCCTATTGGTCTGAAGATTACTTGACAGGTAGATCTAAACCTGTTTGACCTATGTCAGTTTTGCTCTTACTGCTTTAGTTTTTGAGATGAAAGCCAAAAACTTCATTTGACACCTATGTTCTATTTTTAGAAACTGCCGCCATGTTTTTGAATGGATCAAATCCCTGAATACAATCTATAAACTAGATACCCTAAGAAACATTCAATTGAAGTTTTTAAGTATTTGGCAAAGTAGTTTCAGAGGAGAAGATTTTTGAAAAGTTATTGGACGTTCACAAAAAAAAAACGTTTTAAGGGCAATAACTCCTCAAGGGGTCAATTGACTATTTTGATCATGTTGACTTATTTGTAGATCTTACTTAGCTGAGCATTTATTGCAATTTATATTTTCTCTCTATCTATTATAATATTAAAGAAAATAACCAAAAACAGTAAAATTTAATAAAAATAAACTATTTCCAACAGTAACCCAACAATGGGTTGTCGAACTCGTCTGAAAATTTCATAACAGATAGATCATGACCCATTTATCACTTTAACTCTCTTTCACTTTTGATCTCACTGCTGTAGTTTTTGAGATATAAGCCAAAAACTGCTTTTGTCCCCTATGTTCTATTTTTAGCCATGGCGGCCATGTTTGTTGATGGATCAAAACTTCGGATACAATTTATAAGCTAGATACCCTAAAGAGCATTCAGTTAAAGTGTGGAAGTATTTGACCCAGTAGTTTCAGAGAAGAAGATTTTTGAAAAAGTAATAGACTTGCACAAAAAAATGTAAAAAATAAACGTTTCAAGGGCAATAACTCCTTAAGGAGTCAATTGACTATTTTAACTTATTTGTAGATCTTACTGAGCTGAACATTTTTGCTATTTACACTTTCTCTCTATCTATTATAATATTAAAGATAATAACCAAAAAACAGTAAAATTTCATAAAAATAAACTACTTCCAACAGTAACCCTACAATGGGTGTTCCAATTTGTCTGAAAAAATTTTCATAGCAGATAGATTTTGACTTATTCATCACTTTAACTTCATGTCACTTTTGCACTAACTGCTCTAGTTTTTGAGATAAAAGCCAAAAACTGCATTTGACCCCTATGTTCTAATTTTAGCCATGACGGCCATGTTTGTTAATGGATCAAAACTTCGGATACAATTTATGAACCAATTACCCTAATGAACATTCAGTTAAAGTTTAGACGTATTAGGCCCAGTAGTTTCAGAGGAGAAGATTTTTAAATGTTAGCAAACATGATGAACAAATTGTGTAAAATTGTCCTTAAAGGGCAATTACTCTTTAAGGGATCAATTGACAATTTTAGTCATATAAAACTTTTTTGTAGATCTTACTTTGCTGAATATTTTTGCTGTTTACAATTTATCTTTATCTTCAATAATATTCAAGATAACCAAAAACTGCAAAATTTCCTTAAAATTACCAATTTAGTGGCAGCAACCCAACAATGGTTTGTTTGGTTCGTCTGAAAATTTCAGAGCTGACAGATCTTGACATATTGAACAATTTTACCCCATGTCAGATATGCTCTAAATGCTTTAGTTTTTGAGATATAAGCCAAAAACTGCATTTGACCCCTATGTTCTTTTTTTAGCCATGGCAGCCATGTTTGTTGATGGATCAAAACTTCGGATATAATTTATAAACTAGATACACTAAAGAACATTCAGTTAAAGTGAAGGTATTTGGCCCAGTAGTTTCAGAGGAGAAGATTCTTGAAATAGTTTACGACGACGACGACGACGACAGACGACGGACGCCAAGTGATGGCATCAGCTCACATGGGGCCCTTCGGGCCCCGTGGAGCTAAAAAATAAATTCAAAGAAAAATATAAAAAAAATCTTTGAAAATAGAATAAATAGTTATGATAAAAATAGTAAACTATTACTTTATAAAAATTTAAAACATAGCTTGGATAGGGAATTTTATTTAGCTTCCAATGAACTTGTTATGAGTCTTTTATAGACGAAACGCGCGTCTGGCGCAAATACAAAATTTCAATACTGGTATCTATGGTGAGTTTATTTATAAGAAATGCTTAAATTGGTTGAGAATTAGTGACCATAATTAAGAAATAGAAAAGGGTCGCTATTATAAAGTTACTTGAAAGGGTAGAATATGTAAACTGTGCAACTTGCTGGAGGACGAAAAACCCTTCCTACTTGAATGTAAAATTAACAAAAAACTAAAGGGTAATCTATTTGAAAATTGTTTAACTTTTATCTTCTGTAGTATATGCATGGAAACCTCTCTGTGTTTTCTTCCTCTATTTTTACCGGCTTTTAACTAGATTTCAGAATCTGTATTAATTTGATACAAAATATTGCAAAAAGGGAGATGAAAAAATGTCACAAAAGTCCCCAAAATTTGGTTCAAAAGAGAATTTCAATCCATTATAGTGATACCTTTCCTGAAACCATAGATCTTTATCTATTAAGAGGTCTAAAAAAATAATATACATTTAACCTCATTTTTCCATAAAATTGAATTGAAAAGTTCAAGGGACAAATCTTTGTTGAAAAACACTAAACTAATAATGGACCTATGGGCGGTATGGATGTGAAAATACGGACTTTCAAACAGAAAAATGGCCTATAAAACATGCAAAAACAATCTTGATATTCATATAAACCCACTTAAAAGGCTATATTATTCTTCAGCTATCTAAAAATCAATTTTATTGTACACAAATTTTCATATTTAAAAATATCACCATGGCCAAATTGCGAAACTAAACTTCTAACTGTGTATTGCTACCTTAACCCCGCAACATTCTTTTTGTGACTTTCCCAAGTCAGGAGCCTGTAATTCAGTGATTGTCTTTTTCGTTTATTGTTTTGTTCATAAATCAGGCCGTTAGTTTTCTCGATTAGACTATTTTGCATTTATCCTTTCGGGGTATATTAAAGCTTAATATGCGGTATGGGTTTTGCTCATTGTTGAATGCCGTACGATGACCTAAAGTTGTTAACCTTCTTCGTCATTTGGTCTCAATTCTATGCAACTCACCATTGTTATCATCTTTATTGACTGTCTCTACATCTGGTATGTGCACATGTGCATTTGGAACCGTTACGGTCTGAAGCTTTCCAAACTCTGAAACAGAAATGACTTACTTAAGGTGATCCTCCTAATATTGTGCTATCCGCTCTGCCCGAAAATTCGCTAATTATGAATCTACACCCCGTATTTATAATATCATGTTTATGTAATCACTCTTTTTGATAGTCTAAAATGAAAATGTAAGCTATATTTTTCACACAGCTAAAGAGTGTTGTCAGGGTTAAAGATTGCTAGGGATTATTTTAAGGAAAGATCTTGCAAAATTAGCAAAAATTATGATCACAGATGATCACCAAGTTTTAAAAACTGAAAGATAAAGATAGAACACGCATCAAGTGCAAATACTCTTTTGGCACGGGTAGTGCTATAAGCCAATATCATTTTCGGTGAGTCAAACTTTGATTATTTTGTTTTATTTTGAAATTTGAATGTTAATTTCTTCAAACTCATTTCGTGCCATTGCAGTCTAGTAGATAATTCATAAAAAAGGATTTCAGGAATGACAAAAATCATTTGACAAACAGATCACACCACTCCTTAAAGAAAAATAGACTATTTAGTCCATTTTTGGTAATATCCTTTTGACATGGCTCGGTATTTATGCATTCCGTTAGTGTGCTATGGTTATTTGTATTCTTGTCTTCCATTTTTTTCTATTTTCTTTGTCTATAGCCTGTCTTAGTCATTTTGTTTTTCTTTGTTGTTTGTTTTTATAGTGATTAAGATTATAACCCAATGTTGACAGCTGTGTCTGCTTGTTTTGCTCACACATTGTTGTCAATATAATGGAATTCGATGCGACTGTCAAACAAGTGAGAGGTTTGGGTAACTATAGAACAAGGTTTTATCCACCATTTTCTACTTAAGGTAAAAAAAAAACAACACTAATTCATAGCCCCATTGCTTTCTATGTTAAATTCTGCAATTAAAAGCATTAATGGCTATTTTGTCTTAAGTTCAAAGAAAGTGGCAATCATTTCATGTCAAAACTATACCTTATTCTGACTTGTGCTGAAAAATTCAACATACCTTTAATTGTATATTAGAGGGTACTGGTTCCCGGAAGTTTGATAGTACAAAACAGGTACTTCTGATCTGAACAACAGGGCAAATGTGCCCTCCTATTATAATTTTATATACTTTCAACAAGGGTTCTACAGTGATCCAAAGTCCCCAAGCTTTCATTTGATACCAAAACTACCCAAATATTTCACCTATTGACAAAGATACAGCTATACGTAGGAACCTTTTGGTTCAAGATATCTAATACGTTCTAGTATGTTCTTTCCGACCGGGTCTTTGTTTGTGGGTGGCCTTACAAACAGCAATGGTTTCTTGATTTATTAGTTGTACAAACCTTTGCCATCATACACCCGTAATAATGTCAATTGGACTCCCTTTCCATTATTTCCGGTTAATATCATTTGAACTCCAAAAGTTGTATTAATGTAAACTGACCCCGTCTTTTCAAGTACATATCTCATTGTAAAAACATTGTCTGTGTAAGAACACCCACAGATATCAGTTCTGGCAGTGCATGCTCTGTTTTTATTGTAACATCTGTTGTTGTAAAAGCGTAGACTATCTACAGTTGTATAATTTACAAGAAAATTCACAGTGTTTCCTATTGGTCGCTGAAAGATGATGCAAGAGAATTTAAAGACTGTCTTTAATCTATAATACTTCAAAGCGACGCCTTTAAACTCTGGTTTTCTTTCTACATCTATAAATCATAAAACAAATTAATTATGGACGTAAATATATTGACCTGTACATTAATTAATATATTTCAAACAATAACAAATAAAAATAGTACATTGGTTGCAATGAATTATCGTGATTTTCTAGGGAAATAAAAACCGATAATTCCAAATAAACTCGGCTATTTCACTCCTCTGACGTCATACAACAATAGGTGTTGTCAAGACGTTGTCGATGACGTCGCCTCAAAGCGAACAATTTCTTCCATTGTTAATGTAATAATGAGAAAATCTAATCAAAGACTTCAAATATCGTAAAAAATATTCAACTCGTGACCAAACAACACTGATAATTACCTCATGCACTACGCGCATTCGTGAATTAATGTGTTCATTGGTCACTCGTTTAATATTTTTTCTATATTTGATATCTTCGATTAGTAATTCTATAAATAAGATTTTCAGAGATGAAATAGTGTAGGTTTGAAAAATTATGTAAAACACAGTAGATTTCTCACCCAAGAAACGTGTATTGTTTTTTATATTTGCTGTTGTAAAGATTGATTTTCCCCAATGCCTAGACTCAATTGTTGAACACTGCATGTTGGCCCCTCGATAACGTGTTTTTAACATTATCTTGTGTCAGGGATCTGTCTCATTGGGTTATACACCAAATCGCCATTTGTCATTGATACTTAAAATGTTTTATTTCATTTTGAAGGAAAGAAGGTTTTTCAAAACTTTTTCAAATCAAAATAATTCTCATTAACAAAATTCACATACCTCTCATAATATTGCATAATTTTTCAACTGATTTAATATTAACAGTATCTTGCTTTCCGCCATGAATGCATTTCCATTCTCCACAATTTTCTTTTGAAATTCGTATGTTTACTTCCACAGTCATTATATTAGATTCCATATGAGGTATAATGTTGCCGCCCGAACACATCCATCGCTTTAAGCTTCCTTTTTGACAGAATCCATAAAATCTGTTAGAAGGAGCGAATATTTTAAAAATCCTGTCCGATGCTGAAATGTTGCATTTCAGGAAAAATTTGCCGTCTAATATTTTGCTCCTTAAATACTGGGCATTGTTAAATGGTCTTTCTAAGGCGAACGCTAAATATAACACAATTAAAACACTTATAAATGACACAATAATGGTTTGTCTAGTTCAGTTTAAACGCTAATTGAATATTTTCTTAATGCTTTTCGTTTTTGTTTTGTTTTACAAGATTATACATTTTCTAGTTTTCCCAGGCAGTAGTTGCAACTAGCTTTAGAGCCAGCTTGCGCTATTTCTTTTACTTTGATGTTTCCACATTCCTTCGTTATTTCTAAAACTATTTTTTAACATTTTTTTTTATTTATAAACCCTTTAAAATGAGGCATTTTATATGTCTATGAATTTAGAAGCATAAACATGCTACAGATAGTGCAACATATTGGATATATTATAAGATGGTTCCTATTGTGTCTTTTTGTTACTGGTACTTTTTTGATGACACAAGACCTTCCAACTTAGTTTACACTTTGTTCTCTTGTTGTGCTGTTTCTTCACAGTCCAAATTTCGCAGGGGGGTTAAGCGCTCACAATTATTTTCAACCCCGTCACATTTTTCATGCACCTGTCCAAAGTCAGGAGCATGTAATTTAGTGGTTGCTGTCTACCATATTTGTTTTTCGATGGATTGTTTTATCATAAATAAAAATAGTTTTTTTCCTTTGAATTGTATAACATTTTGTCGTATCGGGGGATTTTAAAGCTTACTATACGGCATGAATTTTGCTCATTGTTGAAAATCTTATAGTGACCTTTAGTTGCTTACATTCACGTCATTTGGTCTCTGGTGGAAAGTGGCATTCATACCACAACTTCCCATTTTCATATTATTGTCTCACATTTTCTTTGTTTCTCTGAAATCGAACAGAGTTTATCTTTGACGGTATTGCTCATATGTTTACGCTTTTTGTGAAGATGCTACCAAATAGTTTATCTTGTTTAATTCGTTAAATACTATAGCAAACGGAGACCTTCTAGGATTGACATGCACCAACAAAATTCAAATCAAAAACTTGTGAAAGCTGTAGAAAACAGGGAATGTAATAATCCGGTTATGAATTGCAAATGCTATCTTAAAAGAACATACTTGCATAAAAAAAGGTATATATTATTATCGTTGCTATATATAGTCCGGCCATTTTTAAGGAGCATACACAATCTGTAAACAAATGTACAAAATATATGAATTATTGATACTAAATTGGACAAAATAAAAACAATAAAACATACAAAACAGATAAAAAAAAAATTAAAATTATCAACAACAAAAAACGAAAGAATGATGCAGAATATAAAAAAAAATTCCAACATCTGAACACATAGTAACGAAAGAAATACTGTAATTTTGTAAAATGACTGAAGTTTTAAAACGCAATTCAAAAAATTGCCTGCTATGTTTCAGGTTATTTATTGAAAAAAGGATATAATTGGAGATACATATGACCAAAACAAAATTTTGTAAATTAAGTAACTAATAGTTCAGTAAAATTTAGTTTATTCTTCAAATGCCTGGGAAGGTTTGTATGTCTTTAATTAGGTTTTTGTTAATGAAATTACGTTTAGAATGTACTCTCTCTGTGGGTGTAATACCACCAAATCATAGTACGTCACATTCGGTTGCATACCAAAAAGGGTCGAAAAAATATTCCCTTGAATTTGACAGTTGTAGGAAATTAATCCTACATTTCATTGCAGTAAAAAAATTCTGAGTCATAAACATATATCTTGGGTGCTACAAAGCACCATTCTTTTTTAATTTGGTGTTTCTATAGAATATTTTGGAAACTTGAGGTTACATGGTTACTGAAGCTTGTACACAGGAAAAAAGGTGAACATTTGATTGGTTAAATTCCACTGATGGTGATTATCTTATATGCAATGAAATGTTATGTGAATTTTTTTCTGTAGTACTGGACAGGATAAAACTCTATTCCTGCCAAGTTTTTCTTTATTTGAAACAAAAATAAATTCTGCACAATTTTTTGAAAAGTGCAAATTTAACAATGACTAATAGTGGAAAAACAATGGTGGTATTACACGTGTATCTAAGATAGCCAATTTATGGTCCTTTGGTCATGATGGCAGAAGAACAAACTGTTTTTACGATGGAACAAAATTTACACACGATTTTTTTTAGAAAATCTAGATTCAAAACCGAAGTGTGTTATTTGAAGCAGAACACAAAGATTTTACATGAGGCATCAGATGTAATGTCCCCGTTCAGAAAGAATGTGAATGTGAATTGTTAAATCCTGCACAGCCAAAAGGATTCTCTTTAATAGCATTGGTTTGACCATACAAGGCCGTAGTTGATTGTGATGCATTGATATGAGCATCTAATTCTTCACTGACTCGAGGTAATTTTTGGATCTTTGAAATCTGATTAAGGCTACAGTACTTTTACTGATGTTAAAATTTCGTAAATCGACCAAGAAGAGACACCGTTACAAACCAAAACAGAGGAAATTGCATGAACTCCATTAGAAACGAGACCGGGTGCGTCGACAGGGTAAGCGTCTCCTACTATTCATGCATCACCAGTCAAACAAAGATCTGTCAGCCGCTTAAATGCTCCGATAAACCAAAAGATGTAAATATAAATAAGAAGATGTGGTATGAGTGCCAATGAGACAACTCTCCATCCAAGTCATAATGTGTAAAAAGTAAACAATTATAGGTCAAAGTACGGCCTTCAACACGGAGCCTTGGCTCACACCGAACAGCAAGCTATAAAGGGCCCCAAAATGACTAGTGTAAAACAATTCAAACAGGAAAACCAACGCTCTAATCTATATAAAAAACGAAAAACGAGATACACTTATAAACCACAGCCAACTAAATTAAATCTTCACAATATGTCTTTGACTCTTTTGGGAACACACGAGAAAGAAGATATTCATGTGTGTGCTATTTGGAAACCCCTATGTTTTCGAACATGGAATGTTTTATCAGAAATTCAAAAAAGTATTGGACAGAGCTTAATGTGGCATGGTCCGGGTTTCACCAAATGTGGTTGTAGACCAGATTTAACTGCAAACAATGATTATAAAAAAACCAGGACAGATGTGTAACATATCCTGCCATCCAAACAGTATATGAACTAGAAAATAATTGTGGAGTTCAGTGCTTGAAATTTTAAATAATTCAGAAGAATGTTTAGAAATTATTTAAAGTCTTAAAATATGCAAGCTTTAAAATTCAGTAATTATCACAGATAAAACTGCTTTAAAGTACAATAGTTTCAGAAAACTTAAGTTTTCAGGCATTTTACAAAATGCTAAAATTTCTAAAACGCCTGTAACATATATAAAATCTATGAAAAGACCAATTAAATATGTGCCGGAACATCAAATACATCATATGCGATACTGCACAGATTAGAAGAAAAAACTTAAAAGTCTTAAAATTTGTGCAAAAGAGAAGCGAAGGATACCAAAGGGACATTCAAACTCATTAGTCGAAAATAAACTGACAGCACCATGGCTAAAAATAAAAAAACAGACAAACAACAGTTAACAAAACACAACATAGAATACCAAAGACTGAGCAACACGAATTCCACCAAAAAACTGGGGTGATCTCAGGTGCCCTGGAAAGAGAAGCAGATCCTACTCCACGTGTGGCATAGGATAGTAATATACGAAGAAGATGTATTGAAATTGTTTCATTTTGACAAATATTTCGGGGATCTCAACCATTTCCAACCCACGACCTGTCCTTCTTTAGAATAAAATGTTTTAAACACTAAATAGCTCAATTATTTTGATAAATATTGAATTACTTTTTGTACAATGGTCGGATGTTCGCCTTTCAGCAATATTGTATTGTGGTTTATTTGACACACATGTAAAGATAGTTGAATTAGTGTAAATTATAGGTAAACATTTCATTTTGTAAACAAACGAACAATGGTCTTGACTAGATTGAGATTTTCAATTTAGGTGTTAACCACTAATTCGGTCCCCATCAGAAAGTAATACATTAGTTCCTAGGCATAGGCGTTACTTTCAAAGTAAGTAGAATATTTTGGTGATTTTGATATCTAATGAAAGCTGAATGACTGGTGTTGATTGTAGAACATTTTTTACTGATAATTTTAATTAATAAAAAAATTGCATGAAATTTTAAAAAGAGGCATATTTTACCTGTTTCTCAGATAAGGTCTAAGTCATCGCTCGTGACGTGAGTATACATTCTTGCACAATTAATGAGCTCTGGTCTACCAAATGACGAACAAAAAAAATATAATTTTACATTTCTGAAAATGAGATCATCATCATCAAACTTTATTTCCTCCTAAAGGAGATTAACAAAAGACAACATGCATATAATATTATGTACAATAATAAAGTTTTGATTTCATAAAATTTGAAATGTCACTTAATACTTTGGAAGGAAAACTATTTACAGTCTACAGTAATTTAGGAAGGGAAATCCTTCGTTAAGGACTTCCAAACAATGCTCTGGTTTTAAAATGTCCAAGAGATCTTCCTGATTGCCAAGCAGAAAACATGAAATGCTTTTTTCTTATTTTGAAACCAGTGTGCTATGTGTATATATATCGTATAGAATGATTCTCTGTGTTTAAAGTTCTGTGTACAGACTTATTTGATGGTTCAGGATATCTTGAATAAAGTGTCCACACAATTGCAGTTTCCGCTAGTCAGGGGAGAAGTTCAAAGTTAAGCTACACGTTATTCCTTCGCTTTCGCTCTTCCTTTAATTTTGAAGTCTAATAGCATTTTTGACAATGTTTTTCCTCTTCAAGATTTTTTTTGTATCTTATATAATTATTTATACATAAATTATAGTATGGAGCTATGAAATATAATAAATCTTTGAAATTAAAGTCAAATAACCACGAAACAGCTATTTTGTTAGGTTCAACTAATATTGGATCTGCAGATACATACGATGAAAAAAATCCACGAAGATAAAAGATACGACTGCTTTGTCCTTATAACGTATAAAACAAATACAAATTATGTATAATTTCGCTTTAGATTCCATTATTTTTGTATTTTACGGGTAAATGATGATTTAAAACATTAAACATTCCCATTACTAGAAAACAAAATATAGGCGTAAATTGAAAGTGGAAAGCTAAAGTCATGGTACTTATTTCTGATGGTATCTGTACTCCTTCGATAATTATTTAGAAAAATGAAACTCACATTTTCATTTGAATTAATAGATATGTACATGCGATTAGCGAACGCCATTAATATGTATGTACTGTTTCTAATATGGTTAATAGAGTATCCATACGGTTCTACATGTACTTTTTTTATCTCAATAATTAACATGAATTCCTATTCAAAGTATAATTAGAGCCAACTCAATTTTTTAAAGAATTGGTTTAAATGACACGTTAAAATCTGGGACATATGCTATATCTTACAATGATTTCAAATCTATGGCAATTATATATATATAAATATCTATTTACGATATCGTACACTGAAGGGTCATATATTTTGGAAATTCAATACACCATTTTCAAATTATTTATAGCCAAGATTTACAGGGTAAATAAAATCAATGAACAAATATACAATGGTGGATATATTCATATTTTAAAATTAAAACCTAACACAAATGTAAAAAAGTAATTTAAAAAGATTTAGCAGTAGAAAATTGGTCTTGCGATAAAAATATAAACAAATATCATTTCAAATAATACATTTACAAGGTCATGTAATATTTCCCACTGTCATATACTATCAAAGGTTAAGTTAATGTGTTTATGATGATATTAAATAATAAAAATGTACATTATCCAAAAATTTTCAGAGTTGACTCAATTTTGTCACAAAAAAAATTTTCATACTTACTTTTTTTTTACAGTGTCGTCATTACCCTCACAGGCATGCGCAATCACATCCCATTATATTAAATGGTTATATGGGTCCAGGACGTTTATTATATTTCCTTTTTTTTTAGTTAAAGATTAACGGGTTTTGGTCGTTGAAAATTAAATTCAAGAGAAACCTAGCTGACAGCTAGCAAAGGTAAGAATCCTTAAAGTGTTGAATTTACATTTTTTTTTTATTTAACTTTCGTTTTCAGCCAATCACCATGGATCTTCTCGTCGTTAAAAAAAAATCCAAAAAATCATACATTCAATCTTCATCTTATTATCGCAATACAGCTTTCTATTGAATTTTGAATATAACATTGACATTGGCGCGGCAGGCTCTGAATGTTTCTTTTTTTCTCTGACTAAATACAAATTTCGTTTCATATACCCAATATCCCGTTGTTCTATTTCAAGTTTGTAATGAAAATATGTTTTAACCACATAACTTTTCTGAAGATAGACGCTATATTTTGTCGTTACAAAAATGGAAAGAAACGTATCAAAAGTTGCGAAATGATAGGAAGGAATGTTTGGTTTTCAAGATCTATTTCAACTTTGTACTTTATTTGGCCTTTTCAACTTTTTTTATTCAAGCGTCATTGATGAGTCTTTTGTAGACTTAAAGTGCGTCTGCCGTACATAATCTAAACCGGGTATTAATAATGAGTTTATTAGGACATTTTGGCAAAGATCCCGGATTTTGTTCAATATGGCTGTTTAAAATCCGGGTTTCTTAGCTCAACATCCAAGCTTCCGTTGGAGCATCATCCGAGTTCTTGATCATTTTAGCAATCTCGTCGAGCAGAAGGAAACATTTCCGTAATTATGTAAATGAATTCAAAGTTGGCTGGACCTGGAAGAATAGTTATAAAATAGCCTTTTGGCTTACCTTTTGGCTGATATCATTAACATTTGCGCTGTAGCGGAACAACGAAGCACCTACGGCAAATTCGTCTTATTCTAATGGGTATTATAATGGGAAAAGGCGTACGGAATATTTGGTACGAGTTATAGTGTTTTCAGATCCAGTGTTCCGATGACCTTCATGAACATTTATTACAATGGTGTCAAATTACTCTTATGTATTATTTTATTTCGAAATAAACTTTAAAATATTCTGGATGACTTTCAAAGCCAAATATTAAATTTATCAAACCAGGGGTATTAACAGACGATGCTGTTCCAATGTTTGGTTTGTATATATTTAAAGTAACCTGATTTTTTGAAGAACGATGACTGTTCTCTTGTAAATGAATAGAGAAAAAAAAGTCAATCAAATTTTAAACCATGTTCTCAAAAAATAATGCGAAATGTAAAGTTAGCGGCCGGTTCGTTATTCGTTATTCGATATTCAATCTCCAACCGGCTGCTAGCAGTCGGTTTGATATTCAAATGTTCTTAGTTGAAAGTAATGAAATTAAAATATTCGATAACATTTAAAGCATCACAGTCATTGTTTAAAGAAATAAAAGACGTAGGAAATCTTTTTGTGAACCTTTTGTTGCTCCGTTAAATTATCTAAATTCTCGTTGTCCTCAAATATAAACCCTCAAATATAACCCCTTAGGTAAATCGAATATTTTTCTTTATGAAATATAAATTTTTATCAATAAAATGCAATCAAAGATTTACATTCAAAATATGATATTTCAAGAAACAAAAACAAACGGGCACTCTAGTAAGATACAAACAACTATGGAAAGCAAAAAAAAAAAAAAAAAAAGAAGATAATTATATTCAGGTAGAACGGCCCAGGGTTTTGGCTAGATCTTCCTAATCTCTCAATCTTCATCATATTATGCAAGTTAGTTGATATATAGATGCAAATGCCATAAAGAGGAAGTCGGGTACACTTTTTGTGTTCTATGTTTACCGAGGGCTCAAAGTGTCAGTTTGATATTCAAAATATAAAGTGAAAACCTACCGGAGACCGCTTAAATGACGATGAGACTCCTTGCTCTCTGAATGTCCATCAAATTTATTAAGCTCATAGACTATGTATATTTATACAGTAAAATGTCATCTTCGATATATACGGAGGGCTTAAAATGTCACTTTTATATACATATATGTACTTGAGAAAACTGAATAACAATCTTAACAGAGACGAGGTGAAACTAATGCGTGCTGTTTCCGGTGTCGTCAATTATTTGTTAAGGTTTGTGATTAATATAAAAAATAAGAAGATTTTGTATGATTGCCAATGGGACAACTCATCACCAGAGACCAAATGACAAAGAATTTAACAACTATAGGTCACCGTACGGCCTACAACAATTAGCAAAACCAAAACCGCATAGAAAGATATAAAAGGCCCTGACATGAAAAATGTAAAATAATTCAAACGAAATAACTATCGGTTTGATTTATGTACGAAACAATAAACAAAAAACAAATATTACAGCAACAAACGACAACCACTAATGTTAAGGCTTCTGATTGGGGACAGAATGTGGCAGGATTAAACAGGTTTGCGGTCGCCTGGCCCTCCCCGAACCTGGGACAGAGATGGAACAGCACAGCATAAAAACAAACTGTGAAAGTTAGTCGAAAAGGCCTTAACTCATCAGATCAATACAAACCACAAAAAAAAAAAAAAAAACTAATAAAAATACGGACCGTTAATGTTCAAAGCTGTATAGCAACAATTTTTAGTATGTTTGATTTTATTGATAAAAAAATCAATGTTTGTACGGTAAAGCAGTCAAGGGGAAACACTTAAGGTTAGTCAATGATAATTGGGAAGTAGTTGTATGAGATTTGGCACATATCATTTCCACGATGATTATTTTGCCCCGCTCCGTCAGTCATGGTTGATTGATTTTGAAACTTTCCCCAAAAACGGTTAACATTTTAAAGGTAGTGATTAGGTCTTCAAGTTTCATTTCACGTTGGAGCCAGGTCTATCGTTTGTTCTTTGTACAAATGAATTTAATTCATTGCATAATTTAATTTAATAATTTATAAGAAATACTGATGAATCATCTCCTGTCTTCTTTCTCGTTGGTTAAATCTTTCAGAAACGATGAAATAAAGATCGATTAACACTAGGATAATAATCTGTTGTGGGATGAAGATCCGCACAGTATTTCTCTTAAAATGTGATTTAATATAGATACAAGAAGTTTGTTTTATATGAACCAAAAGTCAAAGAAGAAAATCAATTGAACTTGCATAAACTACTTTACTTTATTTGTTTTTACTGAGTAATCATGTTTCTTGCACTAGTTAACACTGGTGTAGGAGGGGGGTGGATTGGTGGATGGGGCGGGGCAACCGGTTGGGCAATTGCCCCACTTTTAAATGTATATTTTATCCCCCCTTTACTTTTCGGTCCCCCCACTTTTCAGTCCATTGGCTCTGACAATTATTAAACACACATCAAACGCATGCGCCTCAATCTGTAAATCAAAATTGAAAACGATGTTCAGGATGTACTCAGGTGAAATTAAGAAAATCTGCAATTTGAAATTGATACTATATATAAATCAGAAGAGCATTAGTTAAGGAACTAGATAGGCTAAAATATTGATTGGTTATGGAACTCCTTTTCGAGATATTTGATTTTTTTTAGAATGGCGGGAAAAGGCTGACTTGGCCTTCAACTCTTATATTTAGCATTGGCATTATTTGGGTCTCGAATCTGCTTAAATTTTGGTAAATGACCTTAAATATGAGCTATTGAAGTCTTATATGAAAAAAAAGTGGGTGTTATTGGGCAAAATATTTTACCCTATATCGTAGGAAAAAACCCAAGGAGTCCGAACATTTGACAAAAATTCCTGAACCTGACCTAACTACATCCTAAAAATAGAATTAATTTAAATAGAGAATGAAAGATATTTCCTTGGCGTTTCTATATATTGAATAGTTGACAAGACATTCAACCACGAAACCTTTACTCTCAACCGAACAAGTTTTAAGAAAGTTACCTCTAAACGGAACATTTTCAATTGATATAACAATTTTTAAAAACTATATAATAGAATGTTAAACATTTAAATCAAAGCTTTAACTATGTGAAAAACAGAAGGAAACTATAGAAGTTATTGATTTTTTTATATTTTTGTTTTTGTTCAATGTAGTTGTACCACCTCTCTTTGTTCAAAATTGAAATGGTTAGCTAGGTAACTTCATTTATTATATACGTTGTAGTAAATACAAGTAAACTTTTTGTGTAACACACTCACGGGAAATCCCCATGAATTTATCTGTTTTCTGTATATAATAAAGAGTTTAAGATATAGATTTTTCAATATTTCACACCTTATCAACCCCAAACCAATATAATTCCTGGAGCAAAGCTTTTGTTTGGGATTATATCGGTGTCTGGGGTTGATATTGGTGTGATATTGAATAAGCTATATGATATGCTCTATTTTCACAAGGTAACATCACATCCAATAAAATAATATAAGTGATTCGTTTTGTTGCAGCTGAACAGAAGGGAGTTACAAAAATGGACTAACCTGGAACATGGCCTGTAAATATAGCCTGTACATACTCATACTAGCTGTAGCTGTAAATAGCACATACTCCAGTAAGTGTGTTTTATTTCTTTTTAATGTCAACAGACATGGTTGCTTAAATTTTTCGTGACGTATCAATAGCAAGATCAGACTGAGTATAACAAAAAAATTTGACGTCATTAAGGATCAAACAAACCACACGTTGATTCTAAAAAGATGATGAACAGGTCAAAGATGTATAAATCGAATTGACGTTCCCTGTTACTAGCGTCTAATGTAACTTCACGTGACTGTTGATAACCTCCATTATTTGCACTAATGAATATCTTTACAAATTGGAAACCGTTGTATATAGAAGTCTATAAAAACGACATACCAGTAAATTTAATAGGTGAAATTGGTCAGAAAAAGATTATAAAAGTCTTAAGATCTGTGCAACGATACTGACATATTGAGATAGTTATGCACACACACAAGATGTAATAAAACCGTATCGACAAATATTTCGGCTCAAGAAATGCCCTTCTTCATTGTCAATGTTTTTATCAAACAAAAAACAATCAGCCTAAGTAAGTAAATGTGCTGTTCATGTAAGCATTATACTTCTGAAAATATCTATTGTGGTCGACTTATGGTTACGTGTTACATATATATCTATATTCAGATTTTGCTGTAATCGGGCCATAAGTCACCAGTTTTATGACATCTGCTTCCTTTAATAACAACCTTTATGGAGGGTGGAAAGAGGTGTGGGGACATAGGAATGAGGGAACGGCAAGCAGGAGTCAGGAGGATGAAACCATGGGAAATGGGGAAGTAAAACTAGGGATATTCTGAGAACAGATTTTTGACCGATTTTCGTCTGGTATATGTAGTAAGGGGGAGGGAAGTGGGAGTAGGGGGAATTGGGAGTAGGGGGTTTGAAATTGAAATGAGGGACCTCCTGTCCAGAGGAGAGAACTTTGAAATACACGCGTTTTCAAGCTGGAACTGTGAAAACAGGGGAGGGAACAGGGGGAGTAAAACATTTGGATATGCTGAAAAAGTTTCTTTGACTCATTTTTGTCTGGGAGTAATCATGGGAGGGAACTGGAAGTAGAGGGTAGAAAAGTTGGAATCAGGGCCCCTTTATCCACCTCCACCTTTATCAGCAAGGCCGAATATGAAATTTATTCCGGATTTCGTATCTTTTCGGGATTGTTCGAAAATCATCATAAAGTAGTATACGATTATTTGCAAATTTGTATCTGTATATCTAATCACCATGGACAAAAGGTTTACCTCTATATAACTCATATTGGATTTTTTTAATTTTCTTTGTTCTTATATATAAAAACTCCTTAACTTCGTGATTTTATATATCATCTAGCATGTATTGTAAGTATTGATTCCAATAACTTATGTCTTTCTTTCGTTATTATTTGTAACTAGAACTATATTTTTTATATATCTTCCTGGTTCGAAATGGACATATTATAATATGTGCATTCGTTTATACGTATTGCATGTTGATTGTAACTATATAAATATTCTGATTTAATCTGCTAAAAATATAATATACATCTCAAGTTTTTGCTTTCTGTTCAGAAATGTAATTTTCTTTGTGTATACAAAACCATTATTGTATTACCCATACAAAATGTTTCAAAGTAAGAATGGTCTTTTTAATTTTCAGTTTTTCAAGGAAATTTAAATTTTTAATTTTCGTTTGAAACTTTGTAAAAGGTGACATTTCATAAACATGTGATCATGAGCATCAGTATCATTGCAATAATGACAAGGTAGAATACATTGTAAGAATTTCTAACGCACACTTTTGTTCATATTATTTTGCAAATAGTAGTGAACAAACTTTAACATATTACATTATATACTCGTATATATACTCAACTCTTCTTTCGGTTAAAACATAACAGGAACTTCAGTCGCATTCTGAATTGATGTATTATAAATTTTCTTGGTGTGTACACTTCAGAAATTCAATAAATTGTTTTGTTTTGAACTTTATTTAAATATTATTTTCAAATATGTTATTATTTTCATTGATAATGTCATTAGCATAGATACCATTACCATTTATCCAGTTCGGGAATAAAAAAATGTTTTTTTTAATGAAATGGTATTTAAAATAACTTAAACTTAAAGTATTTTTTTGGCTACCTTAACTTTTTATTTGTTTCCAATGCTTTTACGTCTGGTGTACAAAATTTTAAGCTGGACGATAAGCAGCCATCCATCCATCATCATCATCATCATCATCATCCAAATTTTAAGCCTGGTATCTGAAGAGTTTTTCTTTACTATTTGTAATAAAGTTATGGCAGCTTACCTATATCTGGAATTAAGCAATGGAAAATCTAGTGACAAAATATTTCCTCCCCTCTAAACACTGAAATCTTGATCTCTTCAATGTCTATCCCGTTTTAGCAAGGACGCTGTTAATAATAAATTCACAAAAGAACGTTCTGGTAAATAGTAACAATACAAATAAATTGAAATCGAACACAATTTCCATTTAATGTTACAAATTCCCTCCTTAAATAGCAAACGACGAGTACATAAGGCTATAGAAGCTTTGTGTAAAACTGGTTTTAAATGCTGCTATGCGAATAAATTCCTATAGTACCAACTTCGATTATTTCTTATCTGGTTTTATACCTCTCTGGAACATGCCAATTATCCGCACACGTATGCAGCTAGATCAGAAAATTCAGGAAAAAAAATATCAAAAGAATAGACTGATATAAAGCAAAGATTAACACTTTTGAAATCAAGTTGCAAGCAAATAAAAACAGACCTTATTCCGATGTTAACATTGAATGTACATATATGTATAAGCAGAAGACCGCAAACACATGAAGAAAAATCGAGACGACCTATTCTTAAAATAAGTATAAATCTTTAAACGGATAACTTAGTAGTTTGTAAAATTATTAATTAATGAATTTAAAACATCATGTATTTGTATGCATATTGCTAATAACACAGTTTAGTAAATACTTGTTATGCCCCCGCCGTAGTTTATACCCATTTTTAACTTGGAAAATTGCAAAGCTTGAGCGGGGGTATTCGTGTCCTCAGACACATTCTTCTTTTATTTTAAAATGTACGATTGTTGTTAAGAAATAACTTTTAATCAATATCGTCACCAGCATTGTTTTACTGTTGGTTTTGTGGACTTTTTCTTAAGAAGAGTTACTTTTCTATTGTTCTCGCATCATCTGTTAATTAAGTCGATACCATCAATATACGAAAGTCTTGCCAAGCAGTATAAGATAGAATAACGGTATATTTTCCAGTTATCGAAATCTACACTTATTCATTTTTCGATTCTCTCAATTTTGATTAAATCTATATATTTATCTAAATTCACCAAATACACTTTTTGATATGAGAAACTGAGAATTAAAAGCAATATAAGGTATAAAGAAGATTATGATAAAATGTTTACCAAACTTTTCATATTTTTTAATATTTCTTTAGCATTTTGTTTTCGACACTCATGTTGGTTGAACAAAAAAATCCAAAAAAAATCACCAGTTTTGGGCATTAGCTACGAGATATATATAAAAAAAAATAAATATGATTTGTTTTTGTTCAATCATTATTGAAAGTGAAATCTTGAAATAATACTGCTCTTTTAGCAGCCAGTTTGGTTCAATTTTGTCGAAATAAGCGAAACGAATTTAAACACACTAACGCGTCTGTAGTAATATTAAAATTAAAAGTATTTTAATCGGAAACAAAAGACAAATGTGGAAGAACTAAACAACTGAAAAGGAGCAAAAGTTACAGAGAACAGAATTATTTAGTTCTTTAATTCTATACGGTTTTTAAAAAATAATTTTGTCGCTTCAAGTTGGTGCATAAGATTGTTGAATTTGCAATATGTTGTTGACGAACATTGTTTACAACAACCGCGGAAATGAGTAATGCAATACCTTTCTTATCTCGCCTTAATCACACGTAGATAATTGGAGATCCATGTCTTACATTGAAAACCCATGTGTATCGCGGTTAAGCTGGACTAATAGCTATTGTGGTAAACATTAGAGTACGCGAAATTGCCATCAAATACTGTTAATATGGATATATTGTCCAAGTAATGCATAGAGCAATAAATATATCATTTTGTCGAAACAAATTTTACCATACACGTTTGAATGTATAGTCTTGCCGTTTAAACCATAGCACATACCCGAGATATAAACAACAATTACTTGTAGAGGCGAGTAAACAACAATGACTTGTGGAGGCAAAAGTCATGATTGATGCCTGATCAAGAATAATATTTATTTATACTGCTTGGGTCAACAAAGCCACCGAACATTGGATTTAATATAAGACATGACTTTGAAACTGCGATTATCAATTTTGAAGGAAGATAAAAACGAATTAAATGGTAACTAAAAGAGATAGAACCAAAAAAGCGATTTGAATTGAAACAGAACATGAAATGGAGAAAGAGAAGTAAGACATTGTTCCCAATCATTTTATCAGGGGTTAGAGTTAGGGTTAAGGTTAAGGTTTAGATAAAGCTAATACTAATAATGAACACTTCCCTTTCCCGAATCTTGATATCTATATCGTTAACAGGAAGCCAAATACCAAAATTTATGATAAAAAAGACGATTTTTCATTTCCTATTGTTAATTATCCATTTTTAGATGTCACCATCTTATGGTGTTTATATCTCAACTTGTTCGATTCGCTCGTGTATGTAACAATGTATTTGATTTTAACGAAAGAAATCTCTGTATTACTGAAAAATTATTACACTAGGGTTTTCGATATCACAAACTAGTCAAAACATTTACTAAATCTTATCATCGGTACAAGGACATCATTCGTAAATATAAATCAACATGCAGACATCTTATACGTTCAGGTATTTCACATCCAATCATTTATGGTAATATTCTATACAAAGCACAAAAATGTCAGTCATTAAAGATGGCATAGTTTGGTATTAATATTGATTCACTCATAGGGTCTTTGCATCGGAAATAAACACATTTATTCTAAAACCAGTTGTTGGCATGATAAGGGTTATGTTCTTCTCATATATTTT